GGTGTGTTGAAATAACTACGTCCTTTGCTTTCCCTTAATATCGTGTTTCTAACATTAAAAAAAAAAAAAGCAGCTGCTTTTCCCTAATGCTTAACACCAGCACATCCCACATCCTGTATCACAGCTGATATGATACAATGCAACGGAAAGCATACTTTTATATCATGCCCAAATATTAGGCTCAGTAATACTCAGTATTCCATGTGAAGTGGATGGTACAACAGGTAGAAGAAACTGGATAACGGTGTTCTCCTCAAGGCTCTGCCACAGACTTCTGAGTGACATAAAGCAAGTCCCTTAAACCACTCCATTCCTCATATTACTGAGGATAATACCACTTCCCCACCTCATGGAAATGTAATGCTTATTTAATTAATGTTAACAAGATGCACAGAAACTATAGTGGTAAGCACCAGAGAAATATGTATAACTGACATAGAAAACTGCTTTCAAAGTCATATAGGAAAAGAGGATTTAATTTCTTTTCACTATAAATATGATTTACAGCATCGGTCCTTCATTTATGTGACTATGTATACTTCTGTGATATCTAGTATGGAATGTAAAGTTAACATAATAAGTGTAAATAATAGGAAGTGATCTTTTAAAGCTCTTACAAGTTAAATACAACTGTATCTAGTCTTTCTTACTTATATTTCCAAGTCATCACATTTTATCTTCTCCATCTACATTTATGGCTAATATTTCTTTTACTAGGAGAGCAATGTACCCCTGCCTTAATACTGTCATGTATTACCAGTCAAGAAGCTTTCAAGAAAATCTCAATTTTTACTATGTTCTCAATATATTTAGATTGTATAATGTGTATCCACACATGCGCACACTCGCATGCGCGTGCGCACACACATACACAGCCTTGATATCATATTTCCCCTTCCAGTATATCTATTTTAGGAACTTACATGGCCCCCATTACTGTAGTATCTAAGGCCCAGATCCTCCAAGGTATTTAGGTGCCTTATGCATCTAAATACCTTGGAGGATCTGGCCCTTAATGCCTCACAATTTTTAATGTATTTATCTTCCTGACACTCTTGTAATGTCAGAAAATGATAATATTCCCATTTTACAGATGGTAACTGAGGTACAGAGAGGCTAAGTGATTTTCCCAAGCTGACAGGGGAAGTCTGTGGCAGAGCAGGAATTAGGTGCTCCGAGTTCTAGGTTAGTGGCCTAACCACTGGATCATCTTTCCTACCCCATTCAGCCAGCAAAAGTTCATCATCCTCTGGAGGTCTAAACAACTTTGCTGTTTCATTATAGAACATAATAGTGTACAGAATACTGAACTTACTAGATACAGGAAAGATCAGTTACAATATAGACATTTGATTTTAAAATGTTGTTCTTATTAAGTAACTTTATCTGCATAAAAGTAGATTTCCAATAGCCCTATAATGCGAAAGATGGATTTCAATGTCAATTGTTCACAGCTGACCTATTCATTCTAAAGTGATGCTAGCTGCCAAAACCTTTTTTACCCTGTTGTTCTGATCTGGGCTGTGGACAGCCAAAATGGAATGAAAATTTTATGTAAATAGATTTGACGGAAACTTCCTGCAATTATGTTTCTCCACCCACTGCCTGATTCACCTGGCAGTTAGATGAGAAAAAAAAACCCAAAACTGTGTATGCATGTTTTGTTTTAATCCACTTCTGCATTTGATTTAACACGGCCCCCCTGTCGCCAACCAGATGACAATCCCTTTTTGCAACATTCACTATTTTACTTGATGATAGAAAAGGTATTAATATAAAGGTCTAGATCTTTATCCTCAGCTTCAGTGGAATTATAGTGATTTATTCCAGTTGAGCATCTGGCTCATGGATTTCACATAACACATTCTGCACAGGATGGAAATACAATACACCCCAGAAGAGTTCTTCCCACCACAGACAGAGGCAGGAAGCCTAAAAGACAATATTTATTAAACATGAATGCATACAAACACACAAACACCAGAAAATAACCACATATTTGCTGCATCAGAATACGGAAAAATAGGCAGAGGAATAGTTGTAGATTATGGAGAGTCACTAGTTTCCAGCTAGATGTGCTAACCTTACATAATAGGTGCCGGGGGCGGGGGGTTGTCTCATAAGAACTATTCTCATTGCTCTCACTTTCTGAACACCTCCATAATTTTGGATTTGGCTAGTTGTAAGTCACAAATGGCTTAGCATAGAAACTTCACAGTATTAGGACTGGTTCTTATGATTAGTTTTTGGGGGAGGTAGATTTGTTAATGGAATTAGCTGCCAGTAGTGGTTCCATATACATTACAAACTTCAGGAGTTTATAAATGATGCAGGATGATAAATGGGGGAAGAATAGACAAGGATGAAAGGAGTCGCAAGGAGGATGAGTGAGGATAAAAGGGTTATATCAGTGAAGAAAAGGGACCCATCTATCAGTCTAAAAGTCGGCCCACACATATATTCACTTGATATGCCCTACCTCTACATATGGTGGGGGAGTGCTTTTAGCTAGTTCATTTATAGCTAATTTAGTAAAAGGTGTCAACTTTATGTTTTTAATCAGGATGCGACATTTATTCTCTGACCCCTGAATTCAAGTCTAAGCTATTTTTAAAAACAACAGAAATAATCTCACATAAATTGCAATGTATGTCACTTGGAAAATAAACTCTTTGTCACCAGTACATAAACAGAACATAAGACATATTTAATGTCTGCATGTCTTCCTACCAAACACGTGTCAAATAATAATATAACATGGTTACTGACTGTAGCCTATGGCATGTATTAAAAGAAGAAAACTGATCATAATACCAGTGTATCTATTTCTTTAGCTTAGTCACATAAATATAAAGACAACATGCAGAACCACAGTAATACCAAAACAAATAAAATTGCTAAGATGCTCTGCAACAAATTGGTTCTTACATCTTCCCTGGTTGTCAGATACAGAAATCATGCAGCTCTCCTCTCTTAATCTCATTCATTTTAAAACACTTCAAAAGTAAGCCAAGTCTCTTCTTGAGTGGTCACACTTTCATTTCACATTAAGTATAGAGCTTTCCCCCAGAAACTACATAACTGACGAATGACCATTCTTTATCACAAATTATGTGAGTGCATGTCTTCATACTGTTCTTATTCCTTTTTCAGTAGCTGTAGTTTTAGTCTGCTTCAAACAACACTGCACACCAAATTTACCAGTAAGATATATTTTTGCAGTGGAAGCACCATTCCAAAGTGATTGAGAGAATACTGGAGGGCTGAAAGATTATGTACTACTCAAGAGCATAATCATACATTGAGAAGATAATTGGAGCCTTATTTTGAAATAAATTAACTACAGCACTCCTGTATCTCTGCTCTCCTTCAGGAGAGTCAAACAGGGTATATTGATATTTACTGTTAGCATAATCACTAGAGAGTAATTGCCTGCTTCTAGTCACCAAATAAATCAATTTCATATACAAGAAAAAATATGAAGAGAAACTGGATATTGTGCTTAAAGAAAACATGATTGATTGTCTGAATTTCTCTCAAATCAACACACGGTATAATTTCCAGATATATAATTGACTAATCTAATAAGTGGAAGTTACAAATCATGAGGTTTACGTTTAGCTTCTCATATTTTGGGTGGGAGCAGTGCAAGATGGACGATACTGAGATTCATTAGCACATAAGAAAACAAATTTCTAATAAACTCAGAAATGTTTCCACAATCGCAGATCGAGGCATACTATAAACACAGTAATTAACTGCCAGATGAGATATATATTTATATTGGACTTAGCAGAGAAACAAAGAGAACCTGAAGTGGATATTTCTGCTCTAAGATTCTTTCTTTGTATGTTTTGTTTCCTACTCCAAACACACTGCCACTAGCTTCTTTTTTTTTTGTGTGTGTTGCTGAGGCAACTAAGAATCTATTTCACCTTCAATCCCCAGGGAAAACCTAAACTTTGCCAGCTATTAAGGAATGTTGCATTGGAAATGACAAGTGCACTGCAATCTGAAGACCCAAGATATAGCACATATATGATCTCCCAATATTACCAAATAATTCTGGAAATCAATTCAGTACAATTTTTCCTTGGATAGCGCTGTGCCATATTCTTTCTAAATTAGGACAGGCCCTTGTGATACTGAGGTTTGGAGAGGACGGAACAGTTGAAAAACGGTTGGACTAACCCTTATGCAGAAAGGTTGTTTTCTGGAATAGAGTATATTGCTATTACAGTACGTGCAAGATCAAATCATGATGTAACTTATGTAGGATGTTGAAGGTTTTAATGTAAATTATATTAAAAGCATCTTTTCCCCTGTCACCAATGTTATGTTTCAGAAGATATAGCCATTATAGGATTTTTTTTTTAATTAGAACTAGAGCTAGATGGATGTGGAATACATGGAGTGAAATACTGGCCTTAATGAAATCAGTCTGAGTTTGCCGTTAACTTCAATGGGCTCAGGATTTCACCGTTAGTATTTACAGGTGTGCACAATATGATTGATATGCTGGATGGTTGTGCCAGTGGGCCTGATGGAGAAGAATCATGGTAGTATTTCTCTGGAAGGTACCTCCTAGAATGATGCCGCTCTGACATAGCAACATTAGTTCTAGAAGTGTTGCATTCAAAAGGCAGCATTCCACAAACAAATATAGTGGGCTCCATCATGTTATTTTCTGCCATAAATAGTACAGGTTCCAAGCTACCTATCCTACCAAAAACTGAACGCACTCTCCATTTCCCATTCAGAAACCTAAGCTGCCTACAAGCCTCTAAAACAGGCCCCAACCTAGACCTAATTCAGAGCACTGTGCACACTAATTGGAACTTTGTAAGATTGTTTGGGCACATCACCTAGGCAACGACAATCATCAAAACTTTTGTCTCTGGCTAAGTAGTTGCAATGTATATCACAAATGACCTAAAACAAAAAAAGGCAATATCATTCTTTACAATATCAGAAAGAGATATTAGGAGCCTATAAATTACCTGTAACTGTTAATTCTGTAGTTCTTCTGACAACAAAGATTCCGTATTTTAACTCACAAGTGTAATTTCCAATGTCATCTTCTCTAACCTCCCGGATGATGAGAGTGTCCTTTTTGAACACAATACTCGGTCTCCATGTTTTTGCCTTGCATTCCTGTTCAATGACAATATAATACACCCATGACTGAAGTCCTTGTATTTAAACGTAGTGATTATTGACAACACTGCCCAAGTCAAAGAGCCTAGGAAATGGCTTAGATAATTACTTATGACATCTCACATACACTGAGTTGCCCAAATATTCTACTTCATTGAGTCACATGAGAGCTGTCTAGATGCCAGAAAGGCAGGGAATTTATTCCCTTAATGATGGTACTCTGAAGTAATATTGTTGAAGAGTTCCTATTCTTCCTATCTAATTAATGTTGTCTCTGGGACAATTACATATACAGAAAACTTTTATCTTCATTATGTTAATGACAGCTAGAGGACATGGGAAGTCATTGTAAAGCAATAATTAATCAAAAAGGAGGGAAGCAAGAGCGAATGAGAAAAAAAAAGGAGGAAGCAAGTTGCATCTCCATACCTGAAAGCATCTTAGAATTTGCTTTGAAAAGTTTAACTTATCAATGATCTTACTATTGACTCAGTGAGATAACACAATGTCTAATTTGTACTATTTATATGTACACAAAATATAACGTGTCCCAATTTTAATGGCTACTGATAGAGTTGTATGTTTCATTCATGCTGAAATATATTCTTTTTTCGTTGTTTGATAAGTGGGCCCATCCACTAGGTTGAAATTTGTTATGGTCTAAGAATGTGTGTATGTGTTGGCAATTTTTACTGGTTTCCCCTTGTGTGGTTATTTTTTTTTCTCTTTTTTTAAATTGCCTTAGTTAGATTTCAGATAATTAAAGTAAAACATGATATAGCTGCATGCTTTTGGATATTTTTCAGCGATTTCCAAACTTCTTCATCTTTCTAAGAAATAAGTTACAGGCCAATGGACTAATGTCCTTGAGATTTTTGATGTAACAGTACAAAATAATCTGCTCATTTTGCCCAGCATAGCAGCTTGCTGCGTATATAGCATATAGGCTAGTTTCATAAATGTCATTCAGACTATTTTTTAGAATAGACATATGTCCATGCACATGAAAACCCACAATGGTCTTTTATGAAACTTTGCCACCTACCAAGGGAAAATAGTTTTTGACATTTTAAATCCTTAGATACGTATTCTATTACATATTTTAAATATTATGTAAGCGGGGGAATAGTCCCGCTACTGTGGGGAACTTTCCTGGCTTCTGCACTACCCCAGTGAAGTGGGCTAGCGAAAGGATCTGAGTCCTCGCTCCCACTTCCTTTACCCAGTGGCCTCCCTGCCCTTGAGAACTCCCCTTCCACTCTCCTGCCTGACAGAGTCCTCGTAACTCCAACAAGGCTGGGCCCAGGATTCCTGGGGGGCTCAACTCCCAACCCTGCTGTGATCACCTAGGACAGGGGCTAGGGTGTCCCCACTCCAGGGTACTCTCTCTGCAATGGGTATTTCTCTGACCCACTGACCATTACATACAATTTAAAGTAAATGCAAGTTATTTAATCAACAATAAATTTTAAAAAGAATAAGAAAAAATGGGAAAGGTTAAAAGAAACACATTAACCCGCTCTGTGGCAGGGAACATCACAAACAGTGTCTCTGCAATGTCAGGGCAGTTCACAGTCTGTTCCTTGTAAGTCCCAGGCCTTCTCCTCAGGCCCTGGCTGTGCTGTAGGGATGCTGTGGGTTGGAGACTTGCTCTGGTGGTGGCCACATGCTCTCAGGCTCTTAGTGGTAGGACCCTTCTTCCCAGTGTCGTCCCCACCCTGTCGGGGTTACAATCCAAGCCTGGCCTGCAGAGCCTCTTGGCTGAGGCGTCTCCTTGTGCTGGGCTCGCTGCCCAGGGTCCCCCTCACTCTCCCCAGCTGCTCACCACACCCAGCTCCGGACTGCTCCAGCTCCGCCACTCTGTCTCAGCACTGCTGCCGCTGCTCTGCCTCCAGCTCCCTGGGCTGCTTCTTTGGCCCCTCTGCCTCTGGTTGCTGCAGCTCTGCTCCCAGGACGGGTCTGCTCTGCAGGCTGCTTCTGTGACTCTGCTCCCAGCACTGACCTGCTTCCTGGGCTGCTTTTCTGGCTCCTCTGGCTCTGGTTGCTGCAGCTCTCCTCTCAGGGCAAGTCTGCTCTGTCTGGGCTGTGCCTCTGGCTTTGGGGCTGCAGCTCTGCTCCCAGGACAGGGTCTGCTCTCTCTGGATCTGGCATGGCTCTGCTCCCCAGCTCAGCTCAGGCCCCTGCTTTCTCCTTAGCTCGGCCCCACTCTGTCTGACCCAAGCAAATCCAGCTCACAGGGAGGATGGGACCTCCCTGGCCTCCTGACTCCCTGATTAGCCTGCCCGCCCTGTCATTCAGGCTGACCTGGAGCACTGGCCTCTCCCCATTGTTCCTGGGGACTAGCAGTTTCAGGGTCCTGATGCCCCATCGACCCTTCCCCCTTTTTAGTACTGGGAGCTAGCAACTAAAACACCCCCACTGAATGTTAGTAAGGGGGCAACAGTCCCCTTACACTTAGATAGCATATTTCAGATGAAGCTACTAGTTGGGCTGCATAACATTTTCAGAGGCAGTGGCTCAGCCAGAATCCTCCTAGATTATAATTCTTTATAATCACTGGACAATACAATGTTATGTACACTATTTACAAGTACCCATAATGAGGCTAGGTAAATCTGTATGTTTTTATAATTAGAAAGCATAGTGAAATATGTTTCAACTGGAAAATTACAGTTAATTATTCCTGTATACACAAACTTATTTCAGGTTTACCTATAAGATCAGAACTATTTTGGTTTATCCAATAACTAGGGTACTTTAAGAAACAGATCCTACAAGGTGCAAAGTGCCTCCTGAAAAGTGCTGAGCACCCTCAATTCCAACTGCAGTCAATGGGAGCTGCATTTAACAAGTACCTCACAGAACCAGGGCCGAAATAACTCTCCAGAAAAGCAAATTAATGCACAATGTTGAAATAAAGTTATCAATAAACCATAGAGAAATATGGATATTTGAAGTGAAAGCTAATTTTCTCTCTGGGACATTGTCATTTCCCTTTTCTTCCCATAATTGTACGAACAATGGGCAGATCACAAGCCTTAAACCTGAGTTTTTATTCTTGGTGAGATTTGAAGTTTTAATATTATTGAAAACATGGGATTCTTTTTGAATTGTATGAGGTACAATTTAAATTGTGCATGCAAGTAAAAAGTGTGCACAGCTTCTTCTTGAAATATGTTTTCTCTTCATATCTTTCTGAGTGAATTTCATATTTGGAAATTGAGGAAATCATTCTAATAGCATGAGCTTGAATCTGGCATAGTGCAGACAATTGCTGTCTGCTTCCCCACCCAGCCTTACCAATGTGTACCATACCAGACCACCCTGGTAACATTTTTTCTTTTCCAGTTTTGGACTTTTCAGTTGAAAGAGGACCACCAAGTATTTGGTTATTTTGTGATACAGCTAGATGGCAATAAGAAGATTCCAAATAAGGAATTTTCAGTGTTACCTAAGAAAGCATTTGAATCCTTGCCTCTACAACTAAAAGGCTAGTACATTAAAACACTTTACGGTCTAGTTCCTTTTTCATCCTATCCCTCCTTGTCTTATTATTATTGCATCTTAAATCCATCCAAGCTGTATATCACGTCCAAATAAAATGTTGAGATTATTGAAAATGAATCAGAACTTGACAGAATATTTTGTTGAAGGCAACAGAAGTCTTCTGTATTCCTTACCTTATACCACAGGATTTCAGGCTCTCTATAAGGAATTAAAAAATCCTCTATGTCAGGGCACGAGATTTCCTTGCTTTTGCTAAGTTCAGCTTTTTCAGAGTACTTCATCTTTGAATTGTAGCAGAGTCCGGTGTCATTTTCACCCACTGTCAGCGAGATGGAGACTTTCATACAGTAAGTAGAGTTTCTGTAATATAACACAAATAAAAATAATGGGTCCAGTGTGAAAAAAAAATCCCAGTCACATGATTGTTTTCGATGCAGTTATATTCATTGTAGGCAAGAGAGAGAGAGAAAAATCAAACTATTCTTGCTTTATGTATTGTGTGTGTAGTCCTTAGTTATTCAGGATAGGCTCTTCGCTTTCCAATCCCCACCTCAACCACTAGATTTTAATGTAATAACAATAACTGGCCTGAATCCACGAATGAACCCTTTCCTTTCCTCTGAATTCCCTTCCCTCCATCATTATAGTCCATGCTGTTTATTGGCAGGCAACTTCCTCCTAAGTAAAGGCCAAAGAAAGCTTCATGCACTAACCAGCAAAGCACCATAATCATCCTTCTGCCAAACACTATTACAACAGCTCTCTGGGGTTAACAAATCAGTTTACTGCACAGCAGCCTGGTGTCACATTGGAACTTTGGGCATCACAGCATGAACTGGAGTGTTAGCCCCCCCATTCATCAAATTTAAGCAGGTTTTCAAGTGAAGCAGTAATTAAAAATATAGTTTTAAACAACATTTGATTAAAAATCAGACTTACGGCCTTTCACTCCACAGAAAACAGTTTAATCTCAGTGTATTTTAAACTAGAGGACTACCAGTTTGTTTACCTTAGCCTCTCATCCCCATATTCCCAGGCCAAAATGTTTCCCCTGCATTATCCTCAGCTTTCATTAGCTTGGGCTCTGTCCTGCAACTTATTACTTTCCGCTGGTGGCCATATGTTGATATGCCAGACAGCAGAACATTGTTTTGTTTTCCTGATTTCACTATGTACTTTAATTAGTCTCAAAGACAAAATGACTTGAAAAGGATTTATTTTTTCATTTTGGGTATCCAAATGGGCAGGACGAGCATGTCTAAGGTTGAGTACTCTCTAGGAGTACACTGTGACAGTGCAAGCATCTTCCCCTACTATTCTGTAAATGCATTTGACCCCTAATCTGCTGAAAGTGGTTCCTGCAGAGAGCACTAAGATACTTTTCCCTTACTTATTTTCACTCTTAGACTCTGTGAGATGACTGCTGATTTACAAGAGTCTAGTGTATATCTAGCATTGCAGGCTGTCAAAGATAGCTGCATTTTCAGATTGCCTTTAGATGTCTTAATACCTGTTTACTCTTTCTGTTTATCAGGAAGTGATTAAAAGGCTAAAAGGAAGGTAAACAGCACACAAAGAGCACCACAGCCTCATTTCTAGAAGAAAATGTAAATCTCAAAGGCACTATTTATTAATTACTAATAAGAATATCATTTCTGAAAGCACAGTAATTCTGTCAATGACCTTAAATCATGCATGTCTTTTCTGGGCAGGAAAGGCAACAAATATAAAATATCTTCCCTAGAATGGAGTCAGCTTGTACTCCCATCCTTGGAGCTATCTGATGCTTCCTGTGTATACTTGTGACTGGAGTTGGTAAAACTTCTGTATCCATAGCAAGCAATTTAATCATTGAATATAGATCATTCCTAAGTCACAAACTGTCCTAAGTTGTGACCTAAGTCTGCCGATATTGGGTTGTTTTTTTTTTATCTTTTCTATGACTGGATGACCTAACCATTGTCAGAAGAAGGGAGGCCAAAGCAATTCACTGGGGCATAGATTTTCTCTCTATCACAGTGGGAGTATGCTACTGGGAGACAGGTAGAAGGTGATAAGCAGGCATAGGGAGTATTATGCTGTGTATATCACCACATGCTTTGAAAATTCCTTCCTAACAGAGACAGAAGGGAAAATCACTTAACCTGCAATTCTGCTTCTCTAAAGATACCAGCTAGGCAGGAATCTCACTCTTGGTTCACATCTCTCTGGAACACATCACTTCAGGAGATGTCCCTGTCTAAGAGTTATTTTTTCCTTCCAAGATAGGCCTGATCAAGAGCCCTGTCCTGCTGAGCATATGCCAACATCAGGTTCCTCAGGGGCACCGGAACAATCCAGCTGGTTCCCTTCTGACTCCAGTCAGCACAGGAAATGGTGTCTCTAAGCTTTAACCAGTGCAGCTGCCCTAGCCAGTTAGGGCCTCAGTACTCTTTCTGGTCTATGTTCACAATAACCTGGTTTGCTACAGATCACATTTTCTTCATTATTTTTTCTGCCATTTCTTCCCTAAGGTTCCTTCCGAGGCAAGTTTGAGGTTTCAACCTCACAGCTAGTCTTTTTCTTGGCTCCCAGCAGAAAGCACCACGGGGATTCTCATGTCAGCTAAAGTCTGGACTTTCAAACTCCTTTCATGATATTCTGGGCAGAAAATGCAATGAAGATCTCTACATTTTATGATCCTGTTTAGGATGTATCCTAGTCTGGGTTTATCTGTGGTTTGAGGAGAGCTGTGGCACCTCAGTGACTCACAATTTAGTGCATAAGCACTTCAGTTCAAACTGAGTCCATCTGCCCAGATAAAGGATGGGGTTCCAAAGTGCTGATGCTCTCAGTTATGAAGTGCCAAGCCCAGAGTCCAAGGCGCTGACATGTCTAGGCTGGGATACTTAGACAACTGTATTATATGATGTAGGGTCCCTCAAAAGCACTTTCTACTGGGAGCTTGAAGCAGCATAAAAGGAGCATAAAGATTTGGCTGCCTTCACATGACATGTCTCCCTATATGTTTTTTCCACCGTGAGCCTGAATAGTAACAGCGCTGACAAGGTGGTTCACATGGCACTCTGCCAGGAGCCCAGGTTGCATCCAGGAAATGGCCAGTCCGGCTCTAGGGAACTGTAGAGAAAACAGAACAAAATAGAATGATGTGAGCCAAAGAAAACCAGTTTAGTGGGCTCAGAGAACCAGAAAAAGATAAAAAAATCAGTCAGTCCCTAATGGCCTGAGGCAGTTAGACCTGCAAGGCAGCAACTCCAGCGGGGAGGTGGTTTGTTGGCTGACGGCAGCTGGACTAGAAGTAGGTGGAGCCCATGAGCTAAGAAAATGTGTATCACGTAGCAGAGCCTTCAAGTTAGCCTACAAGTGCCCCAGAGGGTCAAGAATCTTAGAACTGGGGGAGTTTCCTATATGACTCTCACTGGAGGCATTAGAGCAAACAGAGTCGTACCACTGGTAACTTTAGAGAAATTGTATATTCCACTGGAGACCAGATTGTATTGTTTGAATAGAACAGTTACTGTATTTACTTTTGTTTTTCATTCTTCACAAGGTAACTGCATTTTGTGCAACTTCTGTATTCACTTGAGCTGACAGGAGGATTGAACCCTGGACCTTCAGCAATAAAAGAATGAGTTTCTACTGTTTCAGCTAAAGCACTAAATTCTGTAATGCAAACCCATCACAGACAGACATCACTGTGACATTCTCCCATGGTGTTATCTGGAGAGTTTTGCCTGGGCTTGTTTTAAGCCATGAGGACACATTTTCAGCCTCATAACTATATACATGAAATTACAACCTATAACATTACTATAACAACAATGTTCAGTGCATCATGAGCCTTCCGAAGACACCCAACATGACAAACTTTGCACTGGATACCACACAATCATTTTATAAGAATGAACATGAGGGTGGCTGGGTGTTCCCCACAAGATACACAGTGTCATTTGTGGCCCAGCCACCAGACAGGGATGAAAACCTACACTTGGCTGGAGTGGGTTACACATATAACTACACAGTCCTATTTGCAAAGGCTGCATATCTTTATCTTTCTCATTTGTCTCCATGGCAAGTCTCTGGCAAGGGGCTTAGGGAACTATGTTAACTGTCATATTCTGTATATAACAATATTTTATAAAGCCTTTTTAGAGCAGAAACTATGTCTAGTTGTATATTTGTACAGCTGATAGCCCAGCAAGGCGCATATGCTGATCAGGTCATATGTGTGCTACTGTTAAATAGAATCATAGAATCATAGAATATAAGGGTTGGAAGGGACCCCAGAAGGTCATCTAGTCCAACCCCCTGCTCAAAGCAGGACCAATTCCCATCCCAGCCAGGGCTTTGTCAAGCCTGACCTTAAAAACCTCTAAGGAAGGAGATTCTACCACCTCCCTAGGTAACGCATTCCAGTGTTTCACCACCCTCATAGTGAAAAAGTTTTTCCTAATATCCAATCTAAACCTCCCCCACTGCAGCTTGAGACCATTACTCCTCATTCTGTCATCTGATACCATTGAGAACAGTCTAGAGCCATCCTCTTTGGAACCCCCTTTCAGGTAGTTGAAAACAGCTATCAAATCCCCCCTCATTCTTCTCTTCTGCAGGCTAAACAATCCCAGCTCCCTCAGCCTCTCCTCATAACTCATGTGTTCCAGACCCCTAATCATTTTTGTTGCCCTTCGCTGGACTCTCTCCAATTTATCCACATCCTTCTTGAAGTATGGGGCCCAAAACTGGACACAGTACTCCAGATGAGGCCTCACCAATGTTGAATAGAGGGGAACGATCACGTCCCTCGATCTGCTCGCTATGCCCCTACTTATACATCCCAAAATGCCATTGGCCTTCTTGGCAACAAGGGCACACTGCTGACTCATATCCAGCTTCTCGTCCACTGTCACCCCTAGGTCCTTTTCCGCAGAACTGCTGCCTAGCCATTCGGTCCCTAGTCTGTAGCTGTGCATTGGGTTCTTCCGTCCTAAGTGCAGGACCCTGCACTTATCCTTATTGAACCTCATCAGATTTCTTTTGGCCCAATCCTCCAATTTGTCTAGGTCCTTCTGTATCCTATCCCTCCCCTCCAGCGTATCTACCACTCCTCCCAGTTTAGTATCATCCGCAAATTTGCTGAGAGTGCAATCCACACCATCCTCCAGATCATTTATGAAGATATTGAACAAAACCGGCCCCAGGACCGACCCTTGGGGCACTCCACTTGATACCGGCTGCCAACTAGACATGGAGCCATTGATCACTACCCGTTGAGCCCGACAATCTAGCCAGCTTTCTACCCACCTTGTAGTGCATTCATCCAGCCCATACTTCCTTAACTTGCTGACAAGAATACTGTGGGA